TGTAATGAGTTTTAATTTATTTTCCCATATAATTATAAGATTATCTAGTATAGTTATAAGGAAAAGGCGCCAAAATTTTCATGTCAATACTTACTATTTGATAAATAACTATAATAATAATTTTATCACTATGATAAGATACTTTTAATGGTATTTTTATTATGAATTAGATTTATAAGATAGAAAAGAAAATGTTGAAATAATTCATTTAGGATTTATGAATTTTTTGAATAGTGGGATTATCATAATTTAGTAGTGATTTTGGGCTATTTATTTTTTATTTATTGTTAATTTTAATACCAAAAAATAGAAAACAAAGATCAGTAAAAACATTAAATTGCATATAAAGTTAACTCATAAAAAAAATCAATAGTTCGACGTTTGGTTATAATAGAAGTTAGAGATAATAGTAGTAGTTCTATAGCTCTATTGGCAAAAAAAAAAAAAGAATAAGCGGGAAAAAGAATGAAAAATAATAATTTTAAAAGTCATTCTAAGTATATAAGCATACAAAACAAAGGAATTTTATTAAAATATTTAAGGGTAGTATTGTGATTTCAAATGATAAGGGAGGCACGTGTAATTTTTAAAATCTTGAGAGAGCTGAATGAAATTGTTAAAAACTTCAAGGGAGGTTTCTGAAATTATACCTTAGTAAAAAATAGAAGTTCAGTGAAATTCGTATAACTGACTGATTGACTTGTTTAATACGATGAAAATTCAGTGGTTAGCCACTTAGGCTGCTATAGTTGAAAGTTATTTATTACATGGACATGCGTGAACTTAGGAAGGAAGAAAGACGAGAAGAGAAATCGTTGAATGAGGACCACCCACATTGCAAAGTCAATAATGTTTTCTTTTTTTTTTTTTAAGTAATAAATTTTGAACTAGAATTTTCTATCTATAATCCCTCGTACTATTTTATCGTCCAACCAAACCCTCATCTAAAGGGCTTTATCTATTTACTTACTTATTTTGCCTAAAAAGAGTAACAAAGCAATTCCAAATGAATATTTTATTACGAGGATAATGGTGTTTATCACATTTAAACCCTTAAATTTACCTATAAATGCCAGTTAAACCACTTCTTTGACCAGCATTTTACCATATAAAAGTACATTAATGATGAGTGGCACCTTTGAATAGCAGGGGTTTGGGTTTTGACCAAAAAAAAAAAATTAGCATGGGTTTGGGGGAATAAGCTTACCGTGATCTCTTCTGTTTTTGGCCTAGTCTTCTAATCCTAGGCTTTTACTTGGTTGGAATCTATATTAATTATCTTACTCTAAACCATTATGCTAGTAAGTGATTTTGTTCTCTTTTTTACAATCTTTTCTAAAATTTTAAAGTGTTTATATCAATCAATAATACCTATTCGTACTCGATCAGCTCGTTTTTATTCTCAGCAAATTCTATGATTTTATTTCAGCTTTTCATTTTTAAAATTTATTTCAACTTTTTGTATTCTGATTTTAGATTTGTCGGGGACGAAAAAAATGCAAATTAAAGGCTGTATCATACTACTTTTGGAGTCTGATTGTGGGTTCTATTTTTTTCTTTTGAGAACACCCATGCATACATTTAAATAGCTTTTGTAACAACAAACGAGAATACATGATTTATTTTTTAAAAAAAATCTAATTTTCAAGGATTAATTATATAAAATTAATTTGTACGAAAACAAAAGCAGTTCAGCCCTGTTTGGATTGTCATTTTTTGCCGAAAAATTGTGTCGTTTTTCGTGATCATATTTCTCTATTATCTTTTTCCCTCACATATATCAAATCGTTACAGTAATTTTTCTATGAAAAATCATGAAAAATGCAATCCAAACGGGATTAGATAGATTGGCTAAAGTCCAATCAATAAAGAACACCAAATGGCCATACCAACTATTCTTTTTTGGGAGGAAAATGGTCATGTAAACTATTAGTGGTCCAATTCTTCCACGAAAAAAAAAAATAGTGGTCCAAAACTAACATATAATCCGTAATTCTTAGTGGCAAAGGAAAGAAAATTCTTATAAAATTCACAGAGGGTTGCAAATCAAAATCATGCCTGCTGTAGACATTTCCTAGGTATTATGGATTTCTTTCTTTTTTTTTCAGCAAGTCAATTCTCCCTGTTTTGGGGCACGTTGCATTCACCTAGTACTATGATTGTGCATTGTGCACTACGTATATTTAATTCAAATTGAATACTCCTATTCTAGGTTTATTTTCCAACTCCAGCTATTGCTGGTAGGGGTGGCAATTCGGGTCCAAATCAGGTTGGCGGGTCGGGTCCGGGTCAACCCGGCAGAAAATCTGTTGACCCGAACTCGACCCGCCAACCCGTGACGGGTCAGGTATGCTGACCCGAACCCGAAAATTTCAGGTTTGCGGGTTGGCAGGTCGACCCGAAATGACCCGAAACTTAATTTTAATTTATTAATTTATCACTGTAATTTCTAATAAAATCAATTTCTCACAAAACTAATTACATAATCAAGTAATAAAAATTTAAATAAATAATTCCAAACCAAATCTAAAATAAATTAAACACCGTAAAAGTGTTTTATCCCAAACAAAATATAAAATAAATTAAAACAATATAAAAGTAAAAAATAATATAATATATTATTTGTCCAAATATAATAATTTCAACTTCACACAAATTAAATAAATTCATTTAGGATTAAGTAATTAATGCCTTTGAAAAAAAGAATAACTTAGTTTAGTTAGATAAAATTATTTTTATATTTATTAAATTATTTTTAATTCGTAAACGGGTCATATCGGGTCACCACGGGTTGACCCGAAATCGACCTGTTTTCTTTTCGGGTTCATCGGGTCCAACCCGATTCTGACCCGAATTCCCGAAACCTCAACCCAAACCCATTAATTTCGTGTTAGGTTCGTGTCGTGTTTTCAGGTCGTGTCGAAAATTGCCACCCCTAATTGCTGGTACCAGAACACAATTTAAGAGGCAAATTTTTTTTTTACTTAACGGACAATTTTATCTCTCGTTGGTCAATATTAACTTAGCCAACTTTTGTCCGGAACATACTAGTTATTGTTCTTTTGTCCACACATTACCCAACAGAGCCACTGGAAACCCAAAGGGAACCACTGCTGAACCAAACGAATGTACTTGTTGAATTTGAGAAGTCAAGAAATCCTGACTAGGGATAATGGTGAATCAAATAATTCGACTTGAACTCACGAACTATTCGGTCAATAACTTGACTTGAATTCGTTTTGCTCGAGTTCAAATTCACAAGTCGAGATCGAGTTCCAAATTTTTGTACTCAAATCTCGACAGATTTAATTGAGATTTTTATAATATATATTTTCTATTTATTATTATAAGATGTCAATTGTATGTTTTTATTTAAAATTATATGTAAAAAATTAATATTTATTAGGTAAGCTCAATTAGATTCAAATAGGTTTGATTGAGTTTGATTTGACTTAATTATATTTAATTAAACTCGAACCTGAAGCTTGATTAGACTCGAATAAACTCGATTGAACTTGATTAAATTTGATTAGATTTAATTAAACTTGAGTTCGAGTAAGGTAGACGAGATCAAGTTTAGTAATTTTATCTCGAATATTACTCAAGTTTAACTCGACTCGAATACACATCTAATACTAATGTTTGACGCTTGTTGGCAAGAATATTTGATTCCCCCCCCCCCCCAAAAAGCATTCCAAGAGGGACTTAAAGATCCGTAGAGGTGGCAAAATGGGCGGGATGGGCGGGATTTGCTTGGATTTGAGATGTAACCGAATCATATGAGTTTGGGTCTAACCTTATCCATATGTGTTTTGGGACTAATTTGGGCAGAATCACTTTAGGATGGGTTTAGATTGATCCCGCCCAATACCCAAATCTATTTTCTACATATTTTTTTCCTTTAATTCATTTTTAATTTTTTATATAACTTTAATATTTTTTATTTATTAAATTTCTTTTTGTCTTATTAAATAAACATGCAAGTGCTTTATACTCATGATTCCCACAAAAAATTGGATTAACAAATAAAGGAAAAGATAGATATACAACCATATTCCAACACATATAAAGATGGCCAAGGCACTTAGGGTGTTGAATATTTATCCTCATCATTGTCCAAGGATGACAGGTCTAAACTGACTGAAATGCTGGAAATTCTTGTGGATAATGACTAGGAAGACTCTAGATTATATGTGCTGGTATGACTATAACAATTGTTAAAGATAATTTTTGAATCTAAGACTCACTTTGGATTGGCTATTTTTTTTAAAAATAATTTTTTTGAAATACAATATTATAGTAATATACAATAACTAAAAAAACATCCCATCCATATTAGTATATCAAATATTTCAAAAAAAATTTATAGTAAAAATTTTTCATAAACACTGCTATAATAAAATATTTCAAAAACACCCCAAAAAATAACTAATCCAAACTGGGCCCTTGCTATTTGAGCCCAATGAGTACCCAAGTTTTTTCCAAAATTTTCCATCAATTAATGGATACAATTGGGATTTGTCCCATTGTAAATCCAATATCAAATTCCAGTACTCATCCCGCCCAAAGTCCCTATGAACATGGGTAATCCATTGGGACTTGGGACAAATTGACACCTCTAAAGATCCATTTGGTGGGCACTGGACAAATGGTCCGGTGGTTCGAAACATAATTATTCATTTTATCAAATTTGATTCTTAAGTTCTTAACTCCTATTTTTCACTCTCACTTTATCATCCCCTTAACACAAAATCTCCAATTATAATTGTAAAAAAAATAATTCTCCAATTACATGAAAAAATTTAGAAAATAAAGAAAAATTGAAGAACTTTCTAATGGACTAACCAATTAAAAATCCACACAAAAAAGGGGAAAGTCCCTCTAAGTCCACTTTCAAACCCCCTGCTACTTCCACCCATGCTCATTTTTATCCGTTCAAACCTAACCTGATCACCATTTTCCATATACCCAAATTCCTGGAATCTTCCCCTAGAGGGAGCCCGGCCCTACCCCCTCAGCCTTCCAAAGCCCGTCAACTCTTTTATTCTTGTTAATTATTCCTTCTTTTGATTAAATCCCATTTTTCTTTCTCGCCCTTCTTCTACTACTCCATCACTTCTACTCTTCCAAGCAAGGCCTTTTGGGTCGTCGCCTTGGTCCCTTTAGGGTTTTCCTTCTTATCTTCATCCATTCATCCAAATTTTTGTCCTTTGATCGGTAGAATATTCAATTTATATATTTAATTCTGAACTTATTTGTTCAGAGTAGTGAGTAATTTTTTGATTGTTAAAGCGAGATCCAAAAAGATGAAGGTAATTGAAGAGGAAATCTCGTCTTGTTTTGGGAGTGGTAAAATTTTTCCACCCGGATTCCGGTTCCACCCCACCGATGAAGAGCTGGTCCTCTACTATTTGAAGAAGAAGATGTGTCGCCGGTTTCATCTGCTCGACGTCATCGGCGAGACTGATGTTTACAAGTGGGACCCAGAAGAGCTGCCTGGTATATGACTACTATTCTTTTCCTGCTTTGGTTTAGCTTTGCTCATAGGGGTTTTCTTGCGTTGACTTGATTTGTCATTCGGGTTGGCCGTTCAATTTTTGGTTGTGCTTTCTGCTTTTGGTGTTTTTTTTTTGTCTGATGGGTTTACATGATTGAGGGAGGCTTTTGATGTGTTTTTGGGGGTTTCGATAAATGTCTTGGGTGTATTTGATGGTTGACTTGAGTGCGTCGATTGATTTTTCATGTGGGTTCTGTTTAATTGTGTGCTATGTGTGATATCTGAGTAGATCAATGGTTATTTATGGTTCATAGGTTGTTTGTGTTTGAAACTTTGGATTGTTCCTGGGATTATGGTCCACGTGTACTCTTGTTGATTGTCAAATGGTTTTGGACTGTTGTTTGGAACTAAATATTTGTTGGTTGGTTGATTCTCCATTGTCTCGTTAGTCATTGAATGGTTTTGATTGGAAATGTCATGGCTGAAGCTTTGTGTGATTAGCTCATGTGGTGGCAATTTTCAAGTTTGACAGTTTTTGTTTTTGGTTTTATACATGTATCTGGTTGGTCAGTCGGTCTTCTGTTAAACTCTTTATCAAGGGATTATATTTGCTTCATCTGTGTGTTAGCTTTCTGACAAAAGCTAAATTAGGAGCAGTGATAGGATTGATGCTGCATCCTAAGTGCAGTTATCTATGCATGGATTTTATTTTATTTTTTGAGACCTGGTTATTAGAATATGGACCATGAACCTGCCCCTAGTAGTTATTAGGACTTAAAATCTTGGCTGGGCCGCTTATCTGCCTCCTTTATTGTTCCTTGTTTTCAATAAGTTGATAATTAACATGGTAGATGCATGGTTGTAGGTCTTGTACTTTAATTGCAGACTGAGCTTCTGCAGTGTTTTAGTCATGGAACAAGTTCTATAAATATTCTGAATGGTTTAAGTTTTCCATCTTCAGTTTGTTTGAGAAAATGTTTGAGGATATTTACTTTATTGGTTAATGAGTTGTAGATTTGAAATTGGTTTTCAGTTCTGAAGAATTTACTGACATTACTTTTGTAAATTTGATTGCAGGATTGTCTAAATTAAAAACTGGGGACAGGCAGTGGTTTTTCTTCAGTCCCAGAGATAGGAAGTATCCCAATGGAGCGAGGTCCAACAGGGCAACCAGGCGTGGGTACTGGAAAGCAACGGGGAAAGATCGGATAATTACATGTAATGCTCGTGATGTTGGGGTGAAGAAAACCTTGGTTTACTATCAAGGTCGTGCACCTTCAGGTGTGCGAACAGACTGGGTGATGCATGAATACACCTTGGATGAAGAAGAGCTAAAAAGATGTCAGGCTGTGAAGGATTATTATGCACTTTACAAGGTATATAAAAAGAGTGGACCAGGTCCAAAGAATGGTGAACAATATGGTGCACCTTTTAAGGAGGAGGAGTGGGATGATGAAGGAGGTGAGACCAATGGACTTATTGACCACAACGACCAGGAGAATCCTGTGAAGCTGGTTAATGAAACAGCTCCTGTTAGTGAGAATGGAATTGTGTCTCAGCCGCAGTCCCATTTAGATGATTTCGAGGAGTTTATGAATGGAATGGCAAATGAGCCTGTAGTTGTTCCATCTCCTGCAGTGGACTATGGATATTCTTTAGAGGAGCTCTTGTGCGAGGAGGAGGCCCAGAGTAATCTAGTGGATCAATCCTCACGGGAAGTCAATTTACATGATCAAAGCACAGCTGTTCACCCAGCCTGTCAGGAGTACAATGTGCAGCCTAGCTTTGACTTGACACAGTCAGGTACATCTCAATTACAGTTGCACGAGGCATCTGAGGTCACATCTGTTCCACAGAGTTATGCATCAGCTCCTCATGCGGTTGAAGGGGATTTCCTGGAAGATTTTCTAGAGATGGATGATCTTCTTGGTCCACAACCAACTGTTCAGGCCTTTGGAAAATCCGCTGTTGAAAATCTGCAGTTTGATGAGTTCGATGGGTTGAGCGAGCTTGACCTGTATAAGGATGCACCCTTATTTCTTAATGAGTTTGAAACAGGGGAACAGGGGCAGATTGCTCAACCTTATATGAATAATATGGGCACTGAAGTTGTGGATCCTGTTTCAAGTTTCTATTTCAACGATGGTTTAACGGAAACTATAAACTGTGAGCAGACTTATTTAAGCAATCCAGAGGAGGTGAGTTTTCAACCATGGTCACATGATCAAAGGAGCAGTGTCTTTGCTGCAACAGAAGCTCATCAGGGGACCATACAGCCAGCAATCTCAGGTACTGCAAGAACAACCAAATTCAGTGTTGACATCTTTGGTTGGCATCAGTATCTGTAGTCTCATTTACGTATTTTAATTTTTGTACAAAAACTGTTGTCTTTCTCGGCTAATCTTATAGAGCTCTTGGTCAGATGGATGGTATGGGAAGACCATGTCATCTTCAACTTGGTGAAAACTCTACTGCCCAAGTGGATATGGGAGAGTTTGAGCCAGCTTCAAGAGCTCTTCTGCTTTTACTGTGGTGTAAGACTTAATTGCTAATATTCATAAGTTTTGGCATGTTTAGGTATGGGTTATGATGGTAACTTTTCCGATCATGGTTCTGGAGCTGATCAAAATCAGAGTGGCAAACAGGATGGTACAGACTCTTGGTTTTCTTCTGCTCTCTGGTCTTTTGTGGAGTCTATACCCACCACTCCTGCTTCAGCTTCAGAAAGTGCGAATCGGGCCTTTGAGCGAATGTCTAGCTTTAGTAGGGTAAGAATAAATAGTAAAAACACGAATGTTGCTGCAGGTAGTATCTCAGCAACTTCAAGTAGTTCAGTCAAATGTAAGAGTGGATTTTTCTGTTTTTCATTGCTTGGTCTGTTATGTGCCATCTTATGGATGTTGATAGGAACATCTGTAAAAGTCCTGGGAAGATGCATAGCCTAGTAATAATGTAAATTGAAGTTTTGCTGGTTTTACTCAAAAGTGTTTTATACAAGTTGAACATAGCTTATGAATGTTGCAGAATCTCGTATCATATAATTCTTAAACCTTGGCAGCCCCTCGTCTGCAGGAATTGCAAAGAGTAAACAGTGGCCCTGTTTTGTCTTACTTTAGCATTCTTTTATCTTAGCATTTTTGTCTTACTCAGCAATACTCAGCAATTTTGTCTTACTTTAGCATAGCATTCTTTCCATGTGGTAACTAGAAAGATGAATTTGTATAATTCCCGTCTCATTGTAAGGAATCTGCATTTCTTCAAAAAATTGTAGTTTATCATTATATGATTTATCAGTAGGCTTTGAGCGTTCCCAGGATGAGGGATTTATTGTACTATCCCAACACTTGGACTAGTTGAGTACGATGTTACACCAACAGCTTCTGCCAGCAGCAAAGTCCGCAAGTGCTACGAGAAAAATGGCGAGGATGTTTGGGCTCAAGGAACTTGGTCTTCTTTGGCTAAAGGAGATTAGCGAGAGCAGAAAATGTTGTCGTCTTTCACTTGATTTGATTGTTATTTGGAGAAGTTGTAAATAGTTTGCTCCTACGTTTATTCCCTGTCCATTCATTTTGTGTACTAACGTATCTTCGTCTTTCTAACCTAGATCAAGCTATGAATTGAGGAGGCAATCATTTGGTAAAGCTCCAATCTCCATTAAAGCTTATTAGGGTTGTTTGTCTAATAGTCTATCCTCAAGCTTTACATCTCTGAAATGTTTGCGCAAAATCTTTGTATGGTAAAGAATAATATGTTCAGCAACATTGTCTTCAAAATTTGCGAAAGAAAGTAATTTCTCCAGTGAAGTCATCTATGAATTTCTTACATCATATGCACAATGAAATTTTGTAAGATGTTGAGTATACTTCCACATGTAAACTGCTGCAAAATTGATAGGGGCATCAAATGGAAGCATGGGGTTGTAGAGCAAAATGGTTTACCTTGTACGGAATTCTCAGTTTGCTAATGATATATTTGCAACAGAAGAAAAGGGCAAAAAAAAAAGTACATTAGATGTCCGGGTCTCTGTTACTCGTTTCTTTGGTGTATCTTTTAGGGGGACCTTTCTTGATCAACTAGCTATAACTTGTTAGGAATAGAAAAGCACAAACAGATGAATGTAAAAGAAAAATTTAGTAAGAACTGACTGCATTATTATGCTAGTAGCAGTACAGCTCATTTTTTCTCATTTCAAATGTAATTTAGCCTGTCCAGTGCGCATTCTGGACCTTAATTCATGTTGCTAGTTGAAGTTTCTAAGTTGATCTTCGAGTATCTTTTGAAGTTGATCTTACTCTTACGGTATCCTTGTTCCCACTTCCGATTTCAGTAGTCACATTATTGTTACCATCTCATGCTGATGCTGCTACTATATATTATAACAACTGAAAATCAGCCACCAGGATACTTAATCTCTATCTTAGTTAGTTCCTCTTGCTGATACAAATCTGGGTTGATCTTCATGTTTCCTTGACTATCTTTGAAACTGATTTTAATTATGCTCATTATACGTTTTCCTTGAGCCCACTTTCGGCAAGAATCTTGACTGTCTGCTGCAAGACTTGCCAAAAAAAAAAAATTTTTTTTTTTTGTTTGTTCTCCCAGGTTTTGTCTTAGCTTTCTTCAGGCTTTGATGGATGGACGTTTGTGTTACTATTGCAGTCAAGTTTGGTGTCTTAGCTTGAAGCAGAAAACCCTCAGTTGCATGCACAAGCTACAGCTAAGGAAGCAGGCAGTCCTTTGTTTTGGGCAGAATGTATTGTTGTTCCAACTTGTAAAAGCTGTCGCCATGGTTATAATGCATGGACCATTGCGCAATTGGATCTGTAGCAGTCTTTTGCTAACTGGTTTATTGTGATTGTATTTCCTGGGGTATGCCCCTTGTAGTTTTGTATCTCCTTTGGGTATCAATAAATATCTTACCCAGCAAAAAAAAAAAAAGATGTTAATTTTGGGGAATCATTATTATTATTTCCTAGTATTTTCGATGATATCATCATGTCTCGCTTAGTTGTTTAACATCCTTTCACATATTAAAGTTTTATTTGAGCAGAAAACTAGGAGCATATTCTCAAAAAGATGCTTTCTGGAATTTGCTTTTACTGCCGTTTTATGAATGCAAATGTTATCCAGCTTTTAAAGTCAATTGAGGCACGAGAATTGACCTACTAAAATCAGGAGATGAACAAAGACCTAGTCAATAATGCGCTACAGCATGACGTAAAAAATTTGAAAAACCAAAACCTAAAGCTGTTTCAGTTTAGGTGGAAAAGTTGCCTGACTCGTACATGCACTACAGATTTGAAAAATCGCTTCAAGATCAATTCAGAGCATGCTACACCATTTATAAAAAAAAAAAAGGGGGCAACATTCGGAATTAGTAAGTAACACCTTTCTTAGTATTTGTTCACATATGAAGTCTTTACATGAGCTGTCGCTATCAATAAATATAAACCTTTAACCAGTTAAAAGATTAATAAGTTTCTTTTTTTCTTTCCACACCCTTTCTATCTTCAACTATCAGATGATCCAATATTCGAACTCTGAACCTGATAGGGGGAAGAATTCTTAGTAATTTTGTTCTTTCTATCGACTAGACCAAACTTAAACTGGTATTCTGGTATTGTAAACTTTAACTATACGTCATGAGCATATTTCCATTTGGTATCAAGATCATTACATTCTACATATATTATTAATGTTTTATGTATGTGTGGGTTATTCGCGGAAGCAGATATAGGCAAAACTATAGTTATAAAATGAGGTGATCAGTTCAACCGTGGATTGGGTGGTTCAATAGCAGGTTGGACGGCATTTATATTAGATAATGTAATAATATATTTTAAATTACAAAAATAATAACATTTTTAAGTTAACGGTTCAACTGACAATTTTTTTTTTGCAATTCACCGATTGAACTGCTGAATAATTGACTGATCAATAAGTTTATTACTTGTCTGATCTAATTAATGACCCAACCCAATCCTATTGCTTAGTCACCAATTTAGACAATTCGATTGTCGGGTTGAACCGAATTTTATAACTATGGACAAAACATTGCAAGAAGTAGAATGTGCTTGGATGGGAGATTATTTGCAAAAGTTATGTAACATTTTTTTTTTGATGTGATGTATGTGCGATAAAAATGTAATTAGAAAAATAAAAAGATTAATTAAAAAATGTGTTTATGAAGCAACTAAAAACTATTTTGCAAATAAGTTTAAATCCAAACAAACCCAAATCACATACTAGCATTTTGCTGGGAGCCATTTGAAAAATAATGGAGTCATGCAGCAATGACTCAATGCCTCGAAGTCTCCTGTATACAATTATTTTGTTTTTCCTTGTTAAACCTTTGAATTTACGCAAGGCGGTGGCCCTACATTTTGCCACCTACTCAAGAGAACATGTACTCGCTCTCTCTTCCTGTATTTGAATGACGTCCCATTCCAGAATTTGGGAATACATTGTGAAAGAATACTAAAGGCAGCAGAAGCATAAATATCATGTGGTTTTCCCATTAAAAAATCAATAAATAATGGATTGATGTTACGAGAAAACCCTCCGAAGTGCTCTTGCAGCAACACGAGAAACCAACTTGGCAAACAGGTCAGCTGGCAACCGAAGTAACTGTTGTTGCACATCTGGTGGGAGCTGCCAAAGGTGTGGAACATAATTATCAGAACTTCCTTCCCATAGAAGTTTATATTACCCAAAACCAATCACGCTAATCAGCAAATGTAATCCGAGGATATACTAAATGAACAATCACAAAGGCCCGGGATTTTTTGATAAGATTGGAAGGCTTCACTTATATGCAAACAATATAAGTAGTCAAGGAATCTAACCCCCCCTTTTCTCACTTTCATAAAGAAAAGAATATCTAAATGTTGTGAGAGCCATAACAATGAGAGGCTTCTAATATCTGGGAGTTCATTACTAGTATCCTGTAGGTAGACACAGCCATGATATTCCTTTGACCACGTGTCTATTCAGATTTGAAGAGCTAAATTACCTCCGGGAGGACAGCAAGGAATCGCCCTAATTCCTCAATTGATACAGATTGATAAAGAACCAGGGAATCTCCATTTGAAGATATTTTCCGGCTATTGTAAGCACTGACCTGCAAAAAATTATGTAAATGCCCCATCTGGACATGTTAGTACATTTGAACATTTCGTGAGAGAAAACCTGTACCATATTGTCTGGCCTTAGTGGGTCCTAAGTCGTAGCTCATTCTTATTTTACTGTTTTATGAGCTAGAGTATTATCACTTCATTAGGATTAACTCTTGTGACACAGTCGTGAATTCATCCCTTATGTTATACTAAATTAACATTCTTATTTAAAACCAAATTTTAAAAATTATAAATCAAATGTGGGGCTACAATGAATTCCACTTGCTCAATGAGCAGTGTTAAATAACTTGTTCGATTGATTAATTCATCCTTGTAATACAGCACATTATAATCAAGTTTAACATTCTCATCCATGTTTAAGCTATCTCTTACAGACTGAATTGCATAATCACCGGCGGTTATAATCATGATGAAATTGAAGTTGGGGTTCCAAAAGTATCAAAGCAACAGCTTAAATTTGTGAAGTGACTATAGGAAGTATTCTAATGGTCACACATCCAACTTCTCAAGGACTAGAAAGTTATGCATCATCAATGAAGATGGCTTGACATATTGCTTTTTCACTTGCAGCACTGTTACATATTTGAGCAAAAGATTTTCAAATATTTGGTGGTAGCTTGATTAGAAAAACACACTTATGATAAAACATAAAAACTGTCTCTCCCTCACACACACTCTCTCTCTCCCCACAACGCAAGTACCAAAACTTATCATTACACTTCAACATGTACACAGAGGCCTGTAGAGGTTGATATACGCGCAGTTGTGCAAGTCATTTCATTCATTTCTATCATTAGAGTCCTACTTAACAGATGAGTAATGATTTGACTTTCGACTAGTTAAACTATTGAAATGAAAATCTCTTACCAGGCCAGTTTTTCTATCCTCTTGAAGACCTGATAGCAACGACACAAGGCGCTGCAATGTTCTCAAATTTGCACTATCTTCATCAGTCATTAGTGAAAATGATGGAGAACCAGAGAATGGGACTCTTGCAGTAAGTGAAGATGCTACAGAATCAAGAGTTGCAAGTCCAAATGCATCCAATCCCTAGAAAAATTCGTAAGACTATCAGTAACCTGAGGCATCTACAGCAGCATGTTAAGATACAGAAGAAAAAGTAGTTCTTATACACCAATGCAGAATCTTGTGGATTTAGAATTTTAACACCATCAACTATTTGGCAGTTTAGAATCTTGTGGATTTAGAACCATAATGCAGAAGCTCTTTCAGAATGTGATTAGGTGAACCAATCTTTTAAAGATGCTATAAATTGCTGCATGCGTGCAATTTTTCAAACACAAGAAAAAATATGATAGCTTTACTTTCCTCTTTCTGAACAAAGACTGTCAAGGCTCTCCAACACTGTGAATTAAGCTGTTGGATTTACATGCTTGGAGAAAATTCAGCTTCTTGTTTGTTATTTTGCTGTAATGGATTGGAGAAGGGTTTTGTATTTTAATCAAGATATAAATGTTCATGGACCATCCGCTACCTTGGTTCCATCTCTTATATGCATCAGAAAACTATTAAACAAAAATCCTTTAACCTACTATACCTTCGCAAATTCTTCAAGAATTATCTCTCTAACAAAAGCCCCCTGCAAAATTTTTAGTAAGTTAACTTTCCTTTCTCTTCACTGAATAGCAAAATTCTAGTCCCTTCAACGGCAATAATGCATGAACAAGCAACAAACCTTTTCAGTCAATGTAAAGGAAAGGACTTCCTTGACAATAATATGGGAATCACCATCTTCAATTTGTTTTCTGATCGATCTTTCTGTCCGAGCACGTAGGGACTGCCAAAGCATTCAAGGTTTTCAAAGAAATTAGCTAGTGGTATGAAAATACCAAACTGAGAGAGGGAATAGAATGGAATAATGAAATTTAGGAACTAAAGAAAGAATATTTCAGTCAAAAAATTAGTAACAAAAGCAGAATACTCTTCAGATGCTCCACATTACTGTGCAAATAGAATCTTTAGTGGCAATAGCAGATTAGCCAATGATTCAGCAGAAAATATCGGGACAAAGAGAGGTCAGCAGACAACTTGCTTTAGAGACATGAAATGAATAAAACTAATCTTTTCAAAGAAAAAAAAATCTATTTAAGGGCAAAAAAATTCCCATGCAACCATCTCACCTCTGTGACCAGAGACTCCAGACGGTCAATCCTGAACACACCATCCTGACATGAAAATTAGTCAATCAGGCTGTGGGTTTTGACAAGGATAAAGCGGTGGTAGATGATATAGCAGATAAAACAATGACATACAGTTAGATTGCATCTTCAGCAGAGACAGGAATTGTATCCACAAATTTACCTTATAGAGAATAGCTTGAAGCGACAATTGCAGCTTTAATGAGCTGTCGGTCAGTACTTTCCTGGCTATCCATGGGTAGGTACTACCCAAAACTTTGTAATTTGGATCAAAGCTGATAGCAATGCCCTCCAAAACAGCAAGGCTGGAAGTTTGCCGGAAACAAGTAATGAATTTGGATGGTGGATTAAAATGCAAAATAGCTAGAAGGAAATCAATTTCCTAAGGTTACTAGAAGGATGTACGGGGCTAAAAGAACAAGAAATTCTTACAACAAACATCTGCTTTATTTACTTTGATTTTCTAGTGAGTATAGTGACACTATTCTGCTAGAATTGAACAGGAAAAGATGGGCACCTCCGAATGACAAGAGAGAAGTACGATGGTATCTGGAATTTGAACTTATACCTGCCAATTATTGAAACAATGTTTATGATGAGAAGAAAAAATCAACCATATATGATTTTTTTCAGAATAAAAAGAAAGAAGAA